TGCTATATACATTTCTGGGCTTACTCCTGTTGAAATCATTTGGGCCGGATTCTAAACCTTCTTGTATCTGCAGTGCCAAGTGAATATACAGCGTTCTCCATGTACATGTCCTCCTGCCAGTATCTAATGGGTTTAGTTTTGCCAGCGCTTCTGTTGTAGTCAGCTCTCCTGCTAGATTCCCGTAGTAACAACCGCAACAAAAAAAAAAGACAGACAGGAAGAGAAGGGTTGTATCAATTTGGGGAGAAGGATAAGGAAAGCAAAGGCTGAGAAAGAGGCTCTGGCTTTGTCAGATTTTCTTTTGCTGAAAGATCTTCCACTGCTGCAGTGGGAACTGAGTTTAGTATCAAAACATTGGTTTTGGTGGGCATGGAATGGGAGGTTAGCTTGGTATGCTGGATAAAATCTTAACAAATAATATTCAAGCCCTCTCTCTTTACTCAGTGTTTTGTTCTCTTTACAGAGAAAAAAAGGAGCTTGCAAATGTTTCATTTTATGTATTAAAAGACACAAATTTTAAAACTCATTACTCTCAGCATGTTGTTTTTACAGACCTCTTTTATTTGAGTTAACAAATATAACTCTCCAGATACCATTTAAAATTACTCGGTTCAGTGAACAGCCATTTCATGATCAGTAACTGATGTTTTTAGTCTAGAAATAAGTGACTTGTTGATCCATGTCACTCTTGCATATCCCTTTTATCACTGAAATACAACAGAATCCCTTTCTATCCAAAAATACATGAAAACCAGTGTGCCAAACTAATGTTTTTTGTTATTGGTAGCTAGTCCTTCTGTACTTATGTCCTAGCAAAACAGTTGTCTAAAAGTGGAGCAAATGATTGCAAACAGCTTTTGTCTTCCAGTAAAGGCAAGTTTGTTCAACTGCAGCTCCTAACGGAGGTTTTGTTTTATAATCCAGTATGTCTACATGTCTGATTTTAAAAAAACAGAATTTCAGACTAGATTAATTTCAGGCCAATTGAAAACTTGCTCTGAAGCATCTGGTTCAAATTATGCCTATGGCCTGGCCCAGTCATCTTTCTGGATTTTTTTCAACAAAATAAAATAGCAAACAGACAGAGCACGTTTTACTTTAAATGACATCAGAATTCTTTGTCCTGGAATTTCGTACACTTGCCAGGCAATTTGTTCAAGGTGTGTTTGTATAGACTCCTGAGCCCAACAAGGAAGAAAGGATAGTACTGATCCTGAGAATTAGTTTCTCAGGAATGAGATGAGTACTCTTATTTCATGATCTCTTTACGGACTCCTTAGGGCTGTGCCTAAGTTGTATTTTTGCCCTCTTAATTCAAACAACAGGAATTTTTTTTTTATAGCAGAATGTCCCAGTGAAATATTCTGCCTGTGATACATGCTTTCTTCAATCTACTGTGAAAGCAGAGTTGAGACAATTTTTGAGAAGAACTTGTCGGGCAATGCTTTATTTATTGTTTTTTTTTCCAGAAAAAAAGGTGTTTATTTTGTTCCTAACTTTGAATTTTTTTTTGCTCACTCTACAACACAACTATTTTAACAATCCTGCCGCTTGCCAGACTTTTCTATGTGTGTACTGAAAGTGCCTATGTTGTGAGTGAAGGAGAGCAAGTCGTCAGTCATTCAATTTTGGAACCTGACTTCAGACACTCATATTTAAAATAGCTTAGCTTAGTCCTACAGTGTGTTCCAGCAGTCCGCTGGAGTCATTCATACAACCCATGTACTTCACAGGCCGCTGAATCAAGCTCTAAATATCAAAAGGTATAGAGAATCAACGGGAGAGAAAACAGCCAAGATATTTCCTTAGCAGAGGTCTGTAAGAGCTAGCTTGCCTTTCAGCCATTATCGGTGGGTCAGAAACCTTTTCTTACGATATCTTAAAGGGATATAAATGATGTAATAATCTTTTTTGTAGGTCAAAGAAAATAGTGGAGTTAAGAACTTTTTAATCAGATGGCAATACCCAATCGGAAGAAAATGAGAAACTAGCATAATGCGCAGGGGCAGGAAACCAGCACAGCATGAGAGGAAGTCAATCTACTTAGAAACACAACAGGAAAGAATACTTGTATTCATATTACATTAACTAGCAGAATGATACTGTACCTAAGCTGTGTGTTGTGCTAGGCCTCTTTCTGCAGGGTTCTGTCAATAGAAGACACAAGTGTCCACAGGAGACCTCCCTAACGTGCAGCGGAGTGAAGAGGAGGAAGCAAGGGTAAGGCTCACACACGTTCTTTAGTTTGTTTTCCATGCTGCATCTTCGTCTTTAGAAGCAGGCTTTATTGGTATAGAATAAAACACACTTAAAGCAAGTGTTTTATGCATAGCTCCTTCAGCCCCGAGTTTGCAAAGTCTTTGGTGATGATTTTAGAGGGATTGGTTAGGTGCAGAGATATGTGTAACGCTTGAGTGTTTGCAAGGTTCTAAGCCTCCAGCATAATTTTGGTTCTAACTTCCAAATGAAAATGCCTGGGTGTGACACAAAAGCTTTTAATCTCTGAAAAGCGCAATACAAAATAAAGCATTACAGGATGGTTTAGTAGTGTCGTTAATGTCTGTAAGAACAGCATGGCCAATTTGCTGTATTTGTGCAGTAGTTCAATAATTAGATGAGAAGATAGGTACTCTTTAAAGCTACTTACTGGCAACAAATATTTATATTCCTAAATTAATATCGTCTCTCAAACATCTGGAAAAAATCATTCTACCTCTGATATTTTTAAAGACTTTCCAGTGTAAGGTCCTCTCTTTAGGACTAATCTAGAGGGTTTTCTATACAAATCCACAGATTCTGGTTTGACCTGAGATTCAGTTCCATTACTGATGAGTTCTCATGACGAAAGACCCCAATACAACAGCTTTACCCTGCACATATTTTAATCATGAAGCCTTTTCTATGCCACAGAAGCAGCCTTTTCTTTCAAAAAAGAAATCAAGATTTTAGCTTAAATTTGAAACTTAAATCTTCCAATCTACAATATTTAGGCATAAATGAAAATTTCAAACTGTGTATTAAAAATAGATGAGATTTTTCTTTATCTGCCTATTACTCGAAGGTGGCTTTCTCCAGCTCCAATTCAGTGAGATATCTAAGCATATGTCTTACCTCCTCCCTATTTAGCAGTAATATAGACAACATGTTTAAGATGCTTTGATGTCACTGAATGTTTAAAATTGATCATGTGTTGCATGGCTGAGGCTTTAATGAATGTAGACGTAAAATAGAGCTGATGTTCTTGTTTCTTGAGATATTATGCTCTGCAGCCTCCTCTATGGAAATAGGACCAGATTTGACCACCTGCTTAGACTAATTGGTTCCACTGTGGGCTCTGCTCGTGATGAGTGATGAAGTATCAGAAGCGTGGCTTCTAATCCCAGTAAGTAGGAGATTTACAGGGGAAACAGATGCCCTTCTTGCTGAAATTCCCAGTATATCTGCCTATGCCCACTGGGATTGCTTGCAGTTAAGCCTCCATTATGGTAATCTGTGTGCTCTTCCTACAACTCGTACCAGCATCCAGCACAAACTGAGCTGAGAGTTTGGTCATGGGTATCTAAGCAAGTGACCAGATATCTGTCATAAGGAAGAAAACAGAGGAATTGCAGAGCGGGTTGTTATGTCTTCAAAAGCATCAGGCAGCAAATGCTACTGCAGTGCAGGAGATATGCAGCCTCCTTTGTGTGGGACAGATTTGCACACTCGGCTATAAACCCGCTTCTAAATTGTTAAGGACTAGCTAGCTAATGGATTAAAAGTCTCTTCGGAAATCCTGGTGCTCCAGAACTGCTGCATAATGACAAATTTGAACCTCGCTGAGAAACCAAAGCTGGTACTTTGCCAGTGCTCCATTCAGAGGCAGAGAAGCACTATGCAGCTTATTTTTACATATTCCAAAGTGACTAAGTAAGGCTCCCCTACAACTGCATAACAGTAATATTTCTTGCCATATTTAGGCAACTTTTTGCACTCTCTGCACGTGAAGAAAATCAACCTGAAATTCAGAGGTGAAATGTGATCTTAACTTAAAATTGAATCAGCTCGCTCCTGTATCAACCTGTTCAACAGCTCTCTGCCCCATCTAGGCTCTTTTTAAAGACAACCTCCCCTTTTACCTCCCAATAATAATAATCATTTTAATTACTGGTGCTCTCCTAAGGTATCTTTAAAAGAGCTGCCTCTTACCAGAAGGCATTTTATAGAATGCTATTTACCAGAATGCTATTTTATAGCCATAATCTCTCATCTCTTTTTACTTTAAACTTAATTCAACCCAAACACTTAGATGTGTTGTCATTTTGATAGGTGGTTTCTCTCTGAACGGTCTCAGAGTGAGATCAATACCCATAGCCGTTACTGTATGGGGCAACCTAATCTGTACACCAACTCCAGAAAATGATTTCCGCCCTGTGCTAAGCCATTCTGCTGGATTGAATGGACTCCCAGAATTTCATCTACAATGTAAACACTTCTGTTGTCTATGAGTCTGTGGATAATGCCATCGCCACAGTGACCAAGATACTTCATTTGAGAGTCCTGTCTAGCAAGGGAAGACTTGCCTATGTTTGCAGGCCATTGCAGGATTTGTGACCAGGACTTTTGGAGTACTTTAAGAGATCGGGCATCTGTTCATAAATTAGGGTTCCTTTTCTCCATTCAGGATAGATTCACTCCTTTTTCTTCCTTTTTTAACCTGTTCTTTTTCTTTATATTTTGAATTTCCTGTTTTGCACCA